TGATAGCATACATTCAACCCAGTTATGAAGCTTTGCATGAGGCATTGGGGTTTTGACCTGGTTTTATATGGCTGGTAGCAAAGAAGGGATTCGAGTCCGGAATAACTGAATTACATATATTATCATGACCGACACTATCGAAAATCCAGGTATAATTTTACATGTCAGAGACACTTTAGTTTGTACGTCAAGTAAGATATCTTGCAACAGTATGACTGACCGAGTTCGTCTGGCATTGGCATAGCAACTCCTTGACTTGGATTACAATTAGGATGGCCACTTAAGTTCCTGACAGCCATCTCGACACAAGGGGGACCTAGAAACATGACCAAGGCCATTCGAATCCGCATGAAGTTACATTTCCGGTCAGTCTTACGCTTATTAAATTATGCTGAAAGGCTTAGCTCTGCATAGCTGTTTTTATGCAGTAAATTCAATTCAGTTATTTAAAAGGCAAACAAACAGTCGGAAAGGAGACGCAATTTATTGTTACTAGCCTCAGTTCGCGATAATGAAGGGAAAGGTTATCTTTTTCTTGTTCTTTATCTTCCTTTTTTTGTTTTTGTAAAATTGTTTTAAACTTACAAATACACTTTAATACTTACGAACCTTTTCTGTATGCTGTTATGGTCTGTCTTCTCAAGTATGTTGGCACTTGTGCTTCACCCACATGTTTCAACAGTAATCATTCCCGTCTCTCTCGCAGGCGAAGTCCTCTTCCGAAGGCGGTCAGTGATGCTTGTGTCCGGAACAAATAATATATGTATAACGGATGATCTGTGCTATTGCTGAAGTAATGTCTGACACACGTCACTTCTGACGTTTTACTAACGATGCTTACCCCTTGCGCTCTAACTTTTCAAAGTGTTTCGTACGTTTGTTTTAGTCAGAGCATAATAAATTTGGCGTGCTTTCCCAGGCAGCTCTTCGACCCTCTTTCGCTCCCTTCTCTGACGTTCTCTCTCTCAAACATTAGGTTTCGGGATGTGGTAAAGTGGCACTTTTGGACCTGGTTCGGTACGCAAATGTCTACTCACGATTGTGAAGCGCTGCGATAAAATTTTTTACACCTTTTAGCAGCGATGACTGCGTAACGTTCTGAAATGCGATGGTTTTATCGAATGAAGAACGAAAAGTTCTTGGAGATGATTGATTCGGTCAGGGACCGGCGTCTGTCGTGGTTTTACAGAACCATTTGGAGGGAGGAAGAAGATTTTGCAAAACTGTTCTCCTCTGGGAAGTCAAAAATAACCTCAGGTAACACCGGTGGCCAATATCGCATCCTCAAGCAGCTGCTTGAGGTGGATTTGCTTGCAATGAGGAATATGACGTTTC